AGTTAATCATATGTAATGGTGATAGGCAACTATATAAACATATACATACATACACACACATATGTATATATATATATATATAAAGAGGAGAGGAGAGAAGCCCAGTGCATCATGGGAATCCCCCGGCAGTCTAAATCTATAGCAGCATCACTAAGGGACAGCTCAGATGACTCCGAGCAGCCCTAACTATGAGCTTTATCAAAAAGGAACGTTTTTAACCTAATCTTAAAGGTAGAGTATTCCAGCGGTTTGTTAGAACATTCACTGACTCCAACATCGTGACTTTCCCATCACCTGATCCTTCAACATCCTTTGCTCTCGTCACAGTAACTACGGCCACCACAGGATGCTTTGTCACTTGAACATAAACACTGTAATGGGACACGCTGTTTGTACTCACCGCCATCTTTCATAGAAGGACTGTCCTGTTGCTTCTGTTACACGGTGAGACAGCAACAGTGAACCACAAAATAGAAAGAAATTCTGTTTTAGTGTTTCTCTCTTTCAGTAGCAACATTAATGATTAACATTTGAATCATGGCATTTACCCAAATTGCATTAATTAAGGACACTAAGTGAAAAACTTCCTTTGGTATATATAAAGGAGAGCTGCTAATTAGATTTAAAAAACCCCGGAATAGAATATTGTTTACTGATCTGTCCTGCCTGAAACAGAATATTGTAAAAATATGTATCTGGCAAATCAAGCCACATCTGATGATTTGTTGACATGAACAAACAGGATCTCTGGATGTTTATTTACTCAACATTAGTTTTTTGGTTTACTGCTGCTCTGTCAGAGTTTCACCACTGGGGGGAAGTGTAGCATCTTTAATTGGAGCGGGGAACATTAACATCCTATAACGGTTCACATTGTTGTCTTGTGCATCACAACTGAAGCACAGCAGTCAGCCATAGTTAAGTATTTGGATTTACATACAAATAAAATGCTTTTCCTTTTCTTTTCTGTGTCATTGTTTTGGATCATTATCATGTTGGAAAAGTCCTCTCCTGCCCAGCTGCTTAAGACCGGCAGTCCTCTTTCTATTTACTATTTTGGTACAAAAACTTGCCTTCACAGAAACATTTATAAATGCTATCACCACTACACTGCTTTTACTCATACAGCCCCATGTCATCACACTATCACCTCCATGTTTTACTCTGCATGTTTGTTTTTGCAGTCCTTAGCAAAGGTAAATCTTATTTTTTGGTAAAATGATTTTCTTCCTGGTAGCCATCAGTAGAGGTTGATGCCAGTCCATGTAATAAAGATAGTTACTGTGCGTCCTGCTAGCGGTGGTGTGGGGGGTTTCCTGCCTTGTAACTACTGATGCAACTCCATTTGAGTCTATGTTCAGTACACTGTTGATTCTCTTGTACCATCTACCATCTTTACGAATCTTCCAATCTGGTTTCAGTCCCTCACTTCATGAAGCCGTGCTGCACTAATAAACACGGCCAAAATTGAGGAAGCGGGGATGTTTAGAGAATCTTTTATAGCCTTGTTCCTGCCTTGTAGCCTTAACTGGAAAGCACATGTGTAATCATTGTGGTTGTACTTGCCTCAGGTCAACTGACTTTTGGGTCCAATTTCGTTGTTTTCTATCAGGCTTTGTTTTTAAGTTCAGACCAAATTCACTACACTTCAACTTAAAATCAAGACAGTTATTGTAGATACATAATTCTTGAACTATTTAACATTTCAGTAATACTGCTTAGTCTTGTTGTATACTAAAGTTTTAGTACTTGAGTAAATGTATATAAGTACTTTCCATCATTGCCGTTTTTATAGTTAATGGACCATCATGTTACCACCTGCACATTTTCTATGTTAGCACCAATATGCAACTTTTTTTGTGCAGTTTCTCTTTCCAACTAATCCTGTGTGATGCTTATAGTGGTTAGTTATATCAACTGTTCATTAAAGACGGCATTTTTCTCATTTAATCACTGGAAAGAACATTTTCTTCGTGCAGATTAAACCAATTTTAAATTACGTTCACATATTTCTTGCAGGATTGCTACTGGGTTGTACAATATTTGCGTCTTCTACATCTGCTCATTTTCATCCTTCTCTGAAACCAGAACGTAAACAGGCGATCGGGAACAACAAGCTGGAACAAACAACAAACTCCAAGAACATTTACGAAGATGACGTCTTCTTATCTCCGCTGTCACTGATCTGCTCATCCAACCAGCAGCAGTGGTCTGGTAACAACCTGTTATCTACATCAAAACACCAGATCTTTGTTTGTCACTGAGATGAATAAGGCAAGATGAGTCTTGTTCAAAGAAACCTGTTTGTGTTAGACGCTCCCCTCCCCATAGTGGTCTGTGTCGTGGAGTCTGCGTGGGGCAGACGACTGTCTCGCCTGCCGTATTAAAATGTGGTCATTAGGCTCAAGGACTCTGACGATGCCTTTTGGCTGTTTTGAGTGATAAAGCAGAGTGAATAGTGCTCCTTGGTGCCCTCACAAGTGCTAATCAGGTGTAAAACAGGCTGCAGCATGAAAATGTGAGGTTGGAATTGCATCTGCAAAGCGTCACAGAGCTTTTGCAGGAGTTTGTTTAGTTTTTTGTTTGTTTGTTTCAGTGATGTTGGACTTTAAAATAATCATATTGATGACTGACTTTTGGGAAGATGCAGTTAGAAAAACAAAAAACAACAAGACCTGACAAGTGCACAAGTTGATTTATTTATGTATTTGAAAAAGCTGGCCACATACAGCGCTTAGCAAATTTATTAGACCACCAGCCAATGGTGATTTATACCACAGCTGCCCTAAATGAACATTGTTAATTACCAAAAGCATTACTTCTGTTTCTGTACTGGTTAATACACCAGTGTGTAGAAGCTCTTCCACCAAAATGATATTTTTTTAAGGTTAAAATGTAATTATTATTGTTATCCATGAATCAGTTTTAGAGATTAAATGTTGTGCTTGATTAACTTCTGACTTCTCCGAGAAGCCCAGTGAGCCGCCTCAAATTTGGGTATAAAAAGAATAATTCAGTTTGAAAATCCTCATTCCTGTTCAAAATGGAAAACATCAAGAGCTGAATGTGCATTAAAGCACTTCATGATGCTGGATGGAACTATATATATTGATAAAGATTTTTTTATGTGTTCATACCGTCCCATTAAAGAAGGAAAAAAAACAGGTGTCACTGAAATAAGTTGAAATTCCATCCATCCATTTTCTGTACACCACTTAATCCTCACTAGGGTCGTGGGGGGCTGGAGTCTATGCCAGCTGAATCAGGGTGAAGGCAGGGGACACCCTGGACAGGTCACCAGTCTATCACAGGGCTACACTTAGAGACAGACAACCAAGCACACTCACATTCACACCTACGGACAATTTAGAATCACCAATTAACCTCAACATGTTTTTGGACTGTGTGGGAGGAAGCCGGAGAACCCGGAGAGAACCCACGCTGCACGGGGAGAACATGCAAACTCCACGCAGAAAGATTTGCAGTGTTCCTACCGGCACGCAAACTGGCGACCTTCTTGTTGCGAGGCAACAGTGCTAACCGACTGTACCACCTTGCAGCCCCTAAGTTGAAATTGACAAAAGCAATAATAAATAAAAACGTATATATATATTTAAAAACACACACAAAAGCCACACAAGCAAACAAGCATGATGGGACCCATAAACTAATACTTTGTTGAACAACCTTTGAGCCAATCACTGCAATCAAGTGTTTTTTCTCTATCAGATTTCTGCACCTGTTCACAGGTATTCTGGCCCACTGCTCAACTGCTCATCAGCAAAGTGCTCTAATTTGTCCGGGACAGTTTTTTTTTTGTGTGTGTGGCCTTTTGGACAGTAAAGAATCAATCAATAGTGGAGTAGTAATTGTACTTTCTCAAAATACAGCCTTTCTCTCTTTAAATAAAACCAACAAACTTTATAACTTGAGAAACTTGCAATGTCCGATATACATTATTGAAATGTTATTTGGACGTGACTAGGGGGAAAACACTGTGTGTGGCTGTGAGTGTGTATGTGCTATTGTCTTGGACTCTAACCCTCCACGTCGTGTGCTGGCTCTCTGAGTAGGAGGAGGATAAGAGGGATAAGGTTTTGTTTTGTATATTGAAAACAAAAGGTTGCACAACTTTTGTTTTTTTTATGACAGAGAGACTTCAGGGGCGTTCAAAGCAGCATCAACACAAGTACGTTTCCAATAAAAGCAAATCCTCATATTTTCATTGCATTGACTTTTTTTAACATGAAACCTAAAGGGATTAGCTCATGTGGACCTCTCTCACACCACGTAGGTCAACCACTTTTCTTGAGGCAGTTTCTTAGTTTTACTGTTGACACATTTAAGGTGCAGTTTCATTGCAAGCATTGACAAGCACAAAAATAAGAACAATAGTCTTCCTCCTGAGGCAAACTTTTCCAGTTTGCCTGTGGGAAAACTAGGAGACGAAACTGTGACAAGAGTCAGGACATGTTAAGACACGGGAAAAGAAGTCAAAGTACTAGTTGCCTCCTGGGAAAAAGCAGCACATGTCCTATTCGTAAGTGAGGCTTGTGACTGCAGAGTAGCAGTGCTGCTGTTTATCTTTCAGTTAATGCTGCATGTTTTCACTGGGACTACAGCATGTTGTGAATAGATGCACAAATAAACGCTGAAAGATTATTTCTGTTGTGATAAGATTTCTCATAGATTTACACGTTCATTAAAACGGGCAGTAAAGACAAAGATTAGACATGTTTGTAATTTTCAGATTCATCTGTTTATTTCGGATAACTTACAGAACCCTTACTTCAGAACACAAAATAAAAACTAAGTATATACATGTCCGACAAGTGCAGAGGTTTGCTTTGCAATGTTTGCACTTGTCAATAAATAATATGTTGCTGGCATACACAGTTTCATTTGGTTTACAGTACAAGTCAGATGTTTAACTCTTCAAACAGAGGTAGACCAACATGGCCAAGATCTAGATAGATGATGTAGCAGGTGTGGAGGTTGACTTAGTTGCCGTTGATGAAGGACTGGTAGAGGGACATGAGCTGGGCCTGCAGGTCCTTGGCGTAGGGGTCCAGCTTTTCCTTCAGGTCTTCAGCATAGGGGGCCACCATTTGTTTCACCAAATTGGCTCTCTGGCTCACTTCCAATTGGACCTTCTTGGTCATGGGGGCCAGACTTTTTTGGAAGTTCTGGAGGTGCTGGTCCACCTTCTGCTTCAGGTCATCGGTGTAGGGCCCCATCTGAGCCTGCAGGTCCTTCACACTCTGCTCCAGGCTGATCTTCAGCTCCTCGCTCCTCTGCATCAGGGCGATCCTCAGGGCATCTGAGTCCAGGGTATCTGCATAGGGGGCGAGCTCCTGCTTCATCTGCTCCACTCGCTGCTGAATCTGGATCTTCATGTCCTCAGTGTAGGGTTCAAGCTTATCCCTGACAGTGCTCAGTTCCTGGGTCAGCGCATTTTTCAACAAGTCAGCCTCTGTGGTGATCTTGGTCATCAGGTCGTGGGCTGCAGGGGGAAGCTGCTTCTGCAGGGTGACTGCATACTTGCTGGCTATATCAGCACTCTCTGTTAGCCGTGCGCTAAAAAACCGACAAAGTGATTGTCAGAGGATTAGACATTTGTGCAAACCAGTCATATGAAATGGGTCCAACTACTGTGGTACGGTGTGACACAAAACTTACTTGACTTCCTGTCCGATGGGCGATTTCCTGATCATCTGGAGAGTGTCGTCAGCTGTCTGTGTGGCCTTAGCAATGTAGTCCCAAAAAGCATCACTCAACACTTCCAGCTGTGGCTTGGGTGCATCAGCATAAAACAGGTTGGCATGGCAGCCTGTTGGACGGAGACAAAAACGGTGTGAGAGCAATGCAGACTTTCAGTTTCCCATTTATTTGTGATTGGTTTGTGATTACTTGACTCAGAAAGTATGCAACTCACCAGAGAGAACTGCAACAGCTAGAACCAGGAACACCTTCATGACTGTGATCTGCTGAAGAAAAAAAAAGAAGGTTGAATTGACATTTTTTCTTCTTTGTTATAATAAGAAAGACAAAACATGTATATTTGCCTCTGAAAGCTTTGTTTAAATACAGTGCAATTCTCACCTGCTTTGGGCTTGTGTGTCTCTCAGAGTTAGGTGTGTTTGTGAGTGTGTCGGACTAGTGCTTCCGTGTATATATACTGAAGTCAGATGACAGTTGTCAAAAGCCCAAAGTCCAGGAGTATCTGCCATGTTGTCACGACAGCTCGTTTTCTGTGTCTGCTGCTTTTCTTGGCTACTATCACATGACTGCTACATTTTAGAAATACCCTAATAACAAAAACTATCTGACTCCACAACAGATATCACATTAATCCCCCCCCAGGACCCATTTCTAGAAAGCCTTTAAGATATAGTAATTAACAGTCCACATAGTCCAGCCCCTCCAACCTGGAGATAACCGCAGATAACCTGCTCACACTAATGGACTTTGTATTAGGGTTAAGCCACATGAAAAGAATAGCTTGAGGCACTTGCATTCTTGAACATTATAGTGAAAAGGTTTCCGAAATAATCACGTATAAAATCATTTCTATCAGCAGGAGTAATTGGTGTCAGGTCACTTTTACCTAACCTTTTAAAAAGAACATTATTTTCCAGCTGAGTTCCATTTTATTTCTCTGGCACATTTAAATCTCATGTTGTAAGAAGGAAGAGTTACTGGAGGTTATTTTCAACCTATTGAACTAACTGAACTCTCCACCATAAGGATGTTTAAGATTACCAAGAGCAGGAGCAAACCTGTGAAACATTTGCATACACTGAAACTGCTTTTTTCTTATACATTACGAGATGTTGGACACGGAAAGAGTTCCTCTGGAATAATCTTAATTTGTGAATGAATCCTAAGGAGTTTACAGTTATTGTGCATAACCAATTGTTAAAAACTATATGATGGTTTAAGCTGAAAAAACTATTAAGTTCAATGTCAATGAGCACTCGGAAGCTTTGATTTGATTTAATTTAGCTTTGTTTTTCTGTGATCAGTTACTGTTAAAACCATTTTAACCACTACAGTAGCTGTGAGTGGCTGAATGTATGTAATCCGAGCAGAATGGGAAGAACTCTTGTTATATGGACTGTTGTATAGTGAGTGTTAAAACATTATATCAAGATGGTCACCCACTCTAAAAGCCTTGTAATCCATCATTTTAAATACTCCTAATTAGCTCGCTTTGTGGCAGTATTTGGAGGAGTCCAATAAATACAACCTCCCATGAAAATCACGTTTTTTTACATCGTGTCCAAATCCTGTTTTTTATATATGCTGAAAGACATGCCATGAGCAAAATAAGCAGTCAACAACACACCTGAGCATTGTTGCCTTGAAACTGCATCATACTGATGAGAGTCCCAAAAAAAAATGAATCCAGGAAATCGGGGTTTCACACATAACAAAGCGAAGGAAGCAGTCCTGTCAGTTTACTGGGACTTTTACGTGGGCTTTTTGTTGTATTGTTTTTCTTCAGAACCGGTTTCCAGTTCGAACATCCATCCATCCATCCATCCATCCATTATCTGTACACCGCTTAGTCCTCACTAGGGTCGTGGGGGGCTGGAGTCTATCCCAGCCAACTTAGGGTGAAGGCAGGGGACACCCTGGACAGGTCACCAGTCTATCACAGGGCTGCACTTAGAGACAGACAACCAAGCACACTCACATGTATCGCTCAGTTACCTTAGTATTACAACTTGCCTTTATGTAGCATGAAGTAGTTTTACAGCATCCAATCAGAGTTGTAGGCGAGCTGGTGTGCTCGAGTTGCAGTGAGTGGCAATGGTGGATGGAGATAGAGGCAGAGACACATTCTAGAGTTACGTCTAAGGTATTTGAAGACAGGAAGGGAGTATTTTCATGATTTAAAAAAAAAACTTTTAAATGTGCAACTTTGATAAACACAGACATGTTTTCAAAAATGTATTCGTTCAGTAGTCGAAACCAGACGCGCACAAACTGTGTATTGCTCCTTTAATTCATCTGACTGAGCAGTGTTAGGCTGGATTTTATTTAGAGGTAAAAAGCCAAAGATGATGGCTTTACAGCATTTTAACAGCAACAATATGATTCATTTGGTGAAAAAAACCAAATATGTCACAACGGAGTCAACAAACTGTTGGAGAAATACAGCATCTTAGTAACTAATTTACTGTTGACCCACTTTTTTTCTGATTAGTAATTACAATCATTCATTTTCATTTTGTCCAGTACTTTTGTCACAGTTTGACAATTGCTTGGAGAACAGCTTCAAAGGTCAGCCTCTCTTTCAACCTGTGCACCTGAATGAGGTCAGGGGAGTAATCAAAACATTTTAAGTCAAGATGATATTCATTTAGAATTATTTCTGGGAATTAAACCAAATAGTGGTCATTTGTAAGTGAAAAAAACAGCAGGAGATAAGTACTGTATATATTAGATTGTCCTCCGGCACATTTGTTTAAAAGTCTTGAATGATTAAATAATCTTGGCACAAAATGTTCTCCGTTTTTCAATCATCCCAAATCATCTTCAGTTAAATATTCTACTTTTATGTCTCTGTGACAGTGTTTCTTGCCTAAGAATAAAAAGTGCCTCATCTTGAGGAAAAAGAAATTAAACCGAAACGCAAAAGTGGGTATATGAGAGTTGAACTATGGAATGTCTGGTGTGAAACAGCAGTTACTTTGTCCTTCAGAAGGTGACGGTGCCACAGTCTACTAACCTTTGGCCAGTCTGACACATAGGATTGCTAAACATCAGCATGACACATAAACAAGAGCTATTAGTTACTATGACGTTAGCTGGCAAAATGTCAAACTAAAACACTTACTGTATGCATATTCAAAGCTGGACATCAAAGAAATTAATGACAGCAATTCTGTCTTTCTTGGCAGACAGTTATCTACGACATAAGAAACAGTTAAGTGATTACAGACGGACCTTTGGGGTCGTACAAGGCTAACCTTATTACCTTTGTTCCGTTCGCGAGCGGTGATGACTCACCCACAAATGAAACCACAGAACAACTCAGCAATCCCCACGGTTTTAAGTAGAAATTATAACCTAGTAGATGATCACTACAGTATTAAACTGCATAAATGTGCACATGGACTCAGCGTGTATTTGTGTAATTGAACTGGTGCATGTGTGAGTTCTCTGGCACAAGATGTCAGCGAGATTAGGAAGGTGAGGCGAGGTGACAGCAAAGCACTACCACTTGGACTTTGGGATCATTGCTATCAGGCTTGCTATATAAGCTACAGAGGCTGCCTAGCTGAACACAAGCACTCCCAAGTGGACTTACAGACACACTTGAAAGCTCAGGTAAGATGGAGAATGAAAAGAACTGTATTCTTGTCTATTGCTATGCTAACATGCTATGTTGACTAACTAGTATTTTCTTGTCGTAGGGTCTAAAGAACCATGAAGGTCCTCGCTGTGCTCGTCCTAGCCGTTTTCACTGGTGAGTAATGCCGGAAAAACCTCTTTATTGTAAATTTTGGAGCATGAGAAAACATCAACTGGTATGCTTGAGATAAAGAGCTTTGGACTAAATGTCGAATCTCACAAGAGTCCTGCATTGCTGAATTATTGGCACAACTTTCAAGGGGTTCTTGTCTCCAACCAACAGGCTGCCATGCCAACATCTTCTATGCTGATGCCCCCAAGCCACAGCTGGAGGTGATGACTGATGCTTTCTGGGTTTACGTTAGAAAAGCCACCCAGACAGCTGATGACACTGTCCAGATGATCAGAAAGTCTCAGTTTGGGCAGGATGTCAGGTAGGTGACACTTTTGACACTGCTGACTGACATTTACATACAAGTGTAAGATTAACAAAAGACTGAAATCTCATTGTCCCGCTCTTATTCTTCTAGTGCCCGTCTGACAGACAGTGCCGACCTAGCCAGCAGGTATGCAGCCAGCATTCAGGAACAGATTCCCCAGGACCTGGTTGCCAAAGTCACCACCGAGGCTGATTTGCTGAAAGAGCGTCTGATCCAGGACCTGAACACCGTCAAGGAGACGGTGCGGCCCTACACTGAGGACATGAAGATCAAGATCCAGCAGGGAGTGGAGCAGCTGAAACAAGACCTGTCCGCATACACAGACACAACCCTGGACGCAGAGACCCTGAAGGCCACCCTGCTGCAGAAGAGCGAGGAGCTGAGGGCCAACCTGGAGCAGAGCATGGAGAACCTGCAGACTCAGATGGGGCCCGTGGCTGACGACTTGAGGCAGAAGGTGGACCAGCACCTGAAGGACTTCAAGGAGAAAGCAGTGCCTATTACCGAGAAGGTCCAGAGTGAGCTCACACAGAGAGCCCAGCAGGTGAGCGACATGGCCACCCCCTACATTGTTGACTTGAGGGAAAAGCTGGACCCCTACACCCAGGACATGCAGGCTCGTCTCTCCGCCCTCTATGATTCCTTTGTTAAAGGCAACTAAGTAAATCTCCACCTCACATTTAACAATAAGAGACTGCATCCAAAGACACAATCCTCTGATCTCACATCCCAGGAACATATCCATGCTAGTATGACAACATAAATTCAACTGTATTGAAAGCTGCAGATGTCGTTAGATATATTGTTGTGTTATAAAAGCTGATACGTGGCAAATATGTGTTGGTCTGTAACACACTGTGTTCTCTTCCTATATTATGGAAAATAAAGCAGAAGCAAAACATAAACCTGTGACTCCATGTTGTTCTTTAAGCACTGATGAAATTATGAATATGTGACAGTGACAACATCTTCAAAATGTACACGAAAAACAAATGAACTAATAATACCTCAACTGGATACAGACCTCTAATGTGCACTGACGCACACCTACACAACTACACAAATGGACCACTGATGTACACTTTGTTCAAAATGTCTAAACTACTTAACAGATCTCCCATACAGGTCAGATGGCCAGTGAGTGTACATACAACATATCTGTGTGGTTGTGTACGCAGCTACGAGCAACATAGACTCTTGTAAGAAACCCCTCTGCGCACCACACCCCTGTAAGATTCAGTTGTGGATATTGGACAGGGCATGTTCAGATTTGACTCTTCAAATCTGGCAGCTCATACATAAGCATATCCTGCTTCCACCTTGTTTTTTTTTTTGTGTGTTTTTTTTTCTTCTCCCTTTTGTGCCTCCATCCCTGCTGCCAGATCACTCCCACGCTGCCTTATCCAGTGGCAAACAACATTCCTCTGTTCTGCCTCCAGCTGTCACAGGCTCTGCACCATTAACCCTCCGAGCATACGCGCGACTCTGGGCTCTCATTACGGCTGATAATTCACAAGTTTTTCACTATATGTTGAATGTGTAAATTCATGTTCAATTCAATGTTTGGTGTTTTTTTCATACTTGACATCGCTGAGCAAGTCAGTATCCTTTAATGAATAAGTCACCTTTTACAAAATGTTTTAACTGTCAGGAAAAGGCATTAAAGGAATACGACATTTTGGTACATGATCTGATACAACTTTCTAGCAGAGCTAAAGACTGACACCACTTTCATATCTGCATGGCAAATAAGAAGCTACTGCAAGAGGATGTTTAGCTCAGCTTAACCCTTTATAGGGCACTCCTTGAAATACTTGGAAAATGAAACTTTCAACCCCAGGGTGTTACTGAAGGATATTTCAAGATATTTTTTTTGTTTTTTTGCTTTTCCAAAAAAAAATAAAAAAATGTTGCAAATCAAGATTAATAACCATATATGGTAACTTGCCCATTTATGGTTAAAAAAAAAAAGGAATTTATAATAAATAAAAGAAAAAATAACAAACTGCAAAATTTTTTTATTTAGAAACATTTTAGTTCAAGGTAATGATACACAATCAGTAACAAAATGTCTATAAAGTACCAGGAATATTTGTTTAGTGACATTTTTCGTAAGGTTGTTATAACTGGTCGTAATATCAAAACTAAGTCAAAGTGCACATAGTTGTTCAACCTGGAGGAGAGGCACAGAGTGGACATATTGAAGGAAGTTACCAAATATGGTCACTTGCCTCATAAAGGGTTAAAGTCTTTAAATAAATGAACCTCTGTGTTATATTGTCAAATTAATCCTTTAAGTAGGGGTTTCCCTTATGGATGACTATTTAATTAGGATGCTTTAGAGCAGGGGTGCCCAATCCTAGTCCTCGAGAGCCCCTATCCAGCATGTTTTAGATGTGTCCCTCTTCCAACACACCTAATTCAAATGATCAGCTCATCATCAAGCTCTGCAGAAGCCTGATAACGATCCTGATCATGTGAATCAGGTGTTGTTGGAAGAGAGAAAACATGCTGGATAGGGGCTCTCGAGGACCAGGATTGAGCACCCCTGCTTTAGAGGTAATGGTTGATGTATGTTTCTGAACAGACCTAAGTCAGATGTTTGCTCCTGCTTCTAGTCTTTGTGCTAAACTAAGGTAACCATCTCCTGGCTATCGTGTTTTCATATTTAGTTTTTGGCCTGGAAAGAAAATCCTATTTCCCTGAATGTCTTACTAATCCATTTATCAGATGTAATACATGTTGATTACAATAAAATCAAAACTTTAAACATGAAGAGACATGATCCAACCAAGTTTCTGCACAGCTCAAACCGCTTAGTCGACATAAGGCTGGCTTTGTTATTAGTCATTAGAGAAGATGCACACAACATGAGCTCACCCTCTCACTCTGAGCATCACACAGTGAATAACACCAACAAATGACATGACTCCAGGTTACCTTTCTTGATGGACAAGCTGCTGCATGCATCATTGCAGAGAGGGGTTGTTCTTTTTTTTGTTTTGCACCCTAACCAACATCCTACCAGATGCCCCAGTTTGTCCGCTCTTAACCCACATCGTCTAAATCCAGTAACCTTACTGACTCATCTACAGATGTTTGCCTCTTCAATGGAATGAAGTAATGGCAACCAAAAACCAGAGTCTTTAAAAAACAGCTTCCAGGGAACGATCTCTGGTTACCTTAGGTTACTTTCGTTCATCTTCGTCTTCCCTCTCACGCAGTCTTGACATCAGACATCACCTCTCTAGAGCAAAAGGAGAAGCATTAATAGTTTGGATGTCTTTATTTTACTGTATTACCTCACAGTTCTTCTTAAGTCCCTCTGTTTCACTTCCCTGTCTGCCCTTTGTCTCTTTGTTGGTCCAGCGAGTGAAGCAGGGTGTTTGGTTTCGCTTGCTCTGGCCTGTGACCTTGTTGTTACAAGTGTGAGGTGCAGAGAAGCTGGTCCATTTCTTCTGCATAATACAAGCACAAAACATTGGATTTTCACGCGTTATCTCCGTGCTGGAAGTACACTATCTAGCTGAATGTACAGTATCATCCTGTGAGACACACCTATTGCAGTGACACAGCCTGTTGTCCGATAAAAACACGTCAAAAGTTTTTGCTTTGACAGAAAAGCAACACTTCAAACATCCGGAGTTTAAACTTGTTTCACCACAAGTTCATTCTTGCCTTTTAAAAATTTGCTTGTTAATTAATTACAAGGCAGTAGAACAATTTGGTGCAGTCTGCTAATCACTAAATAGATACTTGACCTCTTTGGGTTATCACGCGGTAATGTTATCGTGTTCTCAATTACCGGACCAAGCCAGCACATTTAAACTTTGGTCCTGTGTAAAGTTGGATTCTTATGACAATTACAAAACAGATAAAAATGAAGGGCTGACAGCAAAGAGGCTAAAAGGGCAAAGGTGATTACACATGGGCAGGCGGAGGATCACAATTTACCTCGATAGCATAACGCTTTCATTTTATCATAACTATTGCTGGTGGGCTACAGCTGAATCACTTGTTGTGTATCTAATATGTCAAATATTGTATATTATGACAAAACAGTTGGTTTCCAATTAATCTTACCACATGAAAATCACAAAACATAGGTCACATAAGATATACGTCTTATAAGATGCTGCCCCTATTTCACATGTAGGCCTGGATGGATAAATAGAATGGAAATTTGTCAGATAATAGGACCTGCTTACATAGCTACATTTAGCAACCAGCTTTAATGTAGTGTTTGGTGTTTAATGTATTTAATTTAACTGCAATCTTTTAAAATCTAATGATAACAGTAAAATACCAGGTCTGTCTGACTGAGAAACTGAGCACAGATCTCATCTCAACAACACTATGCTGCAGGACTCATGGCGGTTATGTTCTGCCACTAGACAAACAGTAAATGCTTTCTTATATTAAACCTCCTCTTACTTACACCAAATTCAGAACCTGAAATTTTTCATTGTCTCTGAAACTTTACTATATGAATCAGACGTGATTTGAGTTTCTTCACTGTGGTTTAAATTTAATTCCTTTTTTTTTTTTTTTAACATTACCTGTGATCCTTCTTTTATGCAGTCAGCTACTGGAGTGTCCCCAAGCCTGAACATGACCATACTGTTGTGCTTACATCTATGCTTCAGGCACTTACTGGATATTTATAGCTCTGCTTCATGCAGCTTCACAGCACAAGTACAGTGTATAGAAAATGGTACAAATAATCTGCACACAGAAAAATCACAGCTGCTACTTTTACTCAGTGGGATTGTCTTGCAAAGGTGACAAACACGTCGGGGGTTGCGTGTCTGCTGCAGTGCTCAAATGGGGTGTCAAGGGCCAATGCTGGCAGACCATATAGATTGAAATGCATGTGGAAGGCTGTTTTACATCCTGGGGCCAAGTGAATTTGTATTCAAATGAGGCCACTAATCTGGGAAAAAACCTGGGAGGTTGGGGACAGTTGGGACAAACATGCAACGAGCAACGGAAGGATAGTTTTACAGCTCTCTGACTTGAAGCGAAAATGCAAATATCAGCATGATTAAAAAAAAAAAGGTTGCAAAATCCCAATGAAACGAGATGTCCCAATGAAAACAGCAAACGTAGCTGAAAAATGTAGAGCAAAGTATCAAATGCACTGATGCCACCAAAGCTTGCTCGCTTAATATAACACTGTGACAACGTTTGCTCATCACCTGTTAGATAATCAGGGATCTGATGAAGGTGAAACACGAGAGAAACACAATTAAGTACATTTTGTGAATTACTTATTTAATGTATGCATAACTTTTACTTAACTAAATGTGATGGTGAGGTTGTATGACACAGAGGAGTGCAACTGTTTTCACACTATGCATCTATGAGCAAAGAGTGTTGATTGTCACTATTGTTGCCAGGGAGCTGTGCTTGAACTGACCTGGCCTTAAAGTGAATTCAAATGGCCTTTTTGGGTGAACTATTAGTAAATATTAAAAGAACCATGACTATTGTCCTGAATCATAGCATCATTTTAAATTATTTTTGCACTTTTTCCTTTACATGTAGGAGAGAAACACACTTTACACTACTTTTATGTGACAGCTGCTTTGAATATGAAGGTGGAAGAGAGAGTCCAGAGAAACTTTTGTCACAATTATGTGACCCGTCTCACTTTGGTCGTCCCCAGACCCAAAACCGACTTCATGAGAAGAACTGTTGCTTACAGAGGAGCAAAAGCATGGAATTCACTTTCTTTACAGATCAGAGACACTAAAAATATCAGCTCTTTTAAGAGGAAAGTAAAGGGATAATTAGCACAGAATGGGTGAGAATTCTTCCCCTGTATTGTGTTATATTTACAGTGTTGTGTCAACTTGCATTTATCAGGTTACTGCTTTTGTAC